AAAGATACGGATCAACATACAGGAGCCTGCCTTTAGGGTGACGCAGCACCCTAAAGTGATAATAATAATAATAATACAGCAGGAGTGAAATGGCACAAACTGACAAGTAATGCATAAGATTCAAGTTAACTTTGACATGTTTTGTTGCAACGCATCCTAACGTCAGACCGAGCTCCTTCTTAGGAAGCAGGTAGGAAAATTCCCACCTTGATGGACAATAAAGTTGTATCTTATCTTATCTGTAATGTTTTAATGAAAGAAGTGAAGAACACGTTCCGAGCAGAGCTGAGAGGAGTGTACACGAGGAGGTCAACGTCTTGAGTGCGCTGTAGCCGTGTGGATCTGTGGCAGAGCTCTGTCTGGGGCAGATTAAACTGGATTATACCTTTGGTTCTTCAAAAACACGTCAAGAAGCAGCTCTGCATTAACAATGAAACTGTGCTGGTAAAAAAAGTGATGCAGTTCTATCCTCCACAGAAAAATACCTGGAACCAGTCAGTTAAAATTAACCAAGGCTGGTAAACGTGCCGAGGTGTCGGAAAAACAAACTGAAGTGATGAATGAACGTTAAAGACAAACTGGATGAAAGCTGGTCATGGAAAACACACAATATGTTTATGTTAGCACATTTTTGGTCAAAGTTTATGGATGTTTTTAACAACTATGTCTGAGAACACTAACTCTGCCCAAGAACCATTTGGTTGGGGTTAGTAGAGGGCTGGATGAGGAGCTGTATGTCCATGTGCACTTCCTGTACATCTGTGTGTACATCCTGTATATCCTTGTGTATGTCCTGTATATCCATGTGTACTTCCTGTATATCCTTGTGTACGTCCTATATATCGGTGTGTATTTCCTGTACATCCGTGTGTACTTCTTGTATATGCATGTGCACTTCCTGTACATCTGTGTGTACATCCTGTATATCCTTGTGTACTTCCTGTATATCCTTGTGTACGTCCTGTATATCCGTGTGTATTTCCTGTATATCCGTGTGCACTTCCTGTACATCCGTGTGTACTTCCTGTACATCCGTGTGTACTTCCTGTATATTTGTGTGTACTTCCTGTATATCCGTGTGCACTTCCTGTACATCTGAGTGTACTTCCTGTATATCTGTGTGTACTTCCTGTATATCCGTGTGTACTTCCTGTATATACGTGTGTATGTCCTGTATATCCGTGTGTACTTCCTGTATATCTGTGTGTACTTCTTGTATATCCTTGTGTATGTCCTGTATATCCATGTGTACTTCCTGTATCTGTGTGTACTTCCTGTATATCCGTATGTACTTCCTGTATATCCGTGTACTCCCTGTATATCCATGTGTATTTCCTGTATATCCGTGAGTACTTCCTGTATATCCGTGTGTACTTCTTGTATATCCGTGTGTACTTCTTGTATATCCGTGTGTACTTCCTGTATATCCGTGTGTACTTCCTGTATATCTGTGTGTACTTCCTATATATCTGTGTGTACTTCCTGTATATGCGTGTGTACTTCCTGTATATCCATGTGTACTCTCTGTATATATGTATAACCTGTCCTGAAAGCTTGCAGTTAAAAATCTTCGGCTGTCGAGTGTGGCTCCTTTAGAGTCAAATAAAGAAAGAATATTTTCCTCCAACAGTTTACGTTTAAGAGGATAAGACCTGCCCAGGTGTCCCTGTGACAGACTGGAGACCTGTCCAGGTTGCCCCATGCTTCTCACACAGTGATGGATGGACATGGTCATTCTGGTTTGTTTTCTGTATCTTGGGGCTCTTGTGTTTGAGCTCTTTGTTTTCACCCGACCAGCCTTTGTTCAGGGGCCCCCTCAGTTTGGATCCTGATCAGTCTTTGTTCAGGGGCCCCCTCAGTTTGGATCCTGACCAGTCTTT